TATCTTTTTAGGTAAGTACCACCTTTCTGCATAGTATAAGGGCAATAATATACTACTAGACTAGGTTATAGCAGTAAGCAATAATAGCTGGACAATAAATAAGCTTAGTATTACCTGGCTGCAGCATTTTAATAAGTATATAAAGGATCGCACTATAGGTATATATCGGCTGCTAATTATTAATAGCTATAAGAGCCACCGCTCGCTTGAATTTAAAGAGATTTATAAGGAGAATAATATTATTACTTTCTATATACTAGCGCATTTATTGCACCTGCTGCAGCCGCTTAATATTAGCTGCTTTGCGCCGTTAAAAAAGGTATATAGGCGCTAAATTAAGGACTTAATATACTACTATATTAACTATATTATAAAGCTAAAGTTCTTACTAGTATTTAAAGCAGCCTTCTATAACTTAATTATAAAGAGTAATATTTATACAGGCTTTTAAGGCGCAGGCCTTATACTGCTTAATCTAGAGGCAGTGCTTTTAAAGCTTAATATTCGGCTTTATACGCCGTCGCCTCCTGCTGTAGTAGAGGCTTAATAGGAATTAAAAACACTAAGCAACGCTTATAAGCTAGGCTTTTAATTAGCTTTAATTTATAATTATATTTAAAGGCATTAAAATAGCTTGCCTACAGCAATTTTTAATGCGCTTAGCAGCCTTTCTAAAGGTGCTGCAACAATAATATATTAAGCTACGCTACTGTATAATACAGTTGCCAGCCTTTAAAAGGCAAATAAAGCTGCTATAAAGTATAAGGCGCGTAAAAAGAAGTAGATCTAGAGAAAAGGAACTTTAATAATAGAAGCAGGCTCTTAAATAGCTGCTTAAAGACTTAATAAGAACGCCTAAAGCAAAAGGCAGCAAGGCGGGGCAGATTCTAGCGGGAGCGCGCGGCGCTGTAGACGCTGCGGCGAGCTAGGTATTACAACCCGTAATACGAACCACCCGAGCGTAGAGGCACTCGCGGAGATAAGAAAGCAGATAAGACTAATTACAGAGAACCAGGTCACGGGACCTAGAGGGTTATATAAGGGACGCATAGGGATCCTAGATTCCCCCACGGACTGCTGGTAGATAGGAATAATCTAAGAATAGAGATTACGGGATAGATTAGTATAATTTAGGGATAGATTAGGGTAATCTAAGGACTATTCGAGGATTAGGGTAATCTAGGGACTATTTAAGGATTAGGGTAATCTAAGAACGGATTAGACTAAGCTATAGATTTCTTAGGACGGAGCTTTCGTATATAGAGACGCTTCTTTGCATAGATAGGAACCTTATATTTAACTTAAGACTTTAATATTACCTATTAGAAGTAACTACCCCGTTTTAGACCTTAATTAATTATTGCCTTACCTTTTAAAAACTATTGCACCCTAATAACAACTTGCCTATACCCTGCTATAGTGTAAAACACTTAGAAGGTATAGAAGAAACAACCTGTTATACTTTAAACACTGCTATATTAAAGGAGTTATATATAAACAATTAATTAAAATAGCCCTACTAACCCCTTTAGGTAGTATAACTGCTAGACTAACCCTAACTATAACTAAGGTAGCAACACGTATACAGGCGTTGCTTACACAAATATAAACACTAGAAGAAGCTAGTAATACTAAGGATAAGGAGATTATAGCCCTATAGGGAAATCTCTAGACTGTCTAAGAAGAGCTTACTACTACTAAAATAGTTAGCTATAGAGGCTATAAAATAAATAAGCCCGAAGAGTTTACTAGGGAAAGAGGAGCTTTAAGAGCGTTTATAACGCAGATAAGGCTATACCTGCGCATAAACCAAAGTAACCTTAAATTTAAATTGGATAAGGTCTGCATGGCAGCCACCTTCTTAAAAAAAAAAGCGTTTAACTAGTTTAACCTAATGCTTATAGACTAGCTCGGCAACGCCGACGCAGATAATCGGAAACTAGAAACTAATATTATGTTTAGCGACTATAGATACTTTAAGTTAGCACTTTAGATAACCTTTAGAGACACCGATAAAGAACAGATAGTAGAACAAAAAATAGTAGTTCTAAAATAGAAGGGCTTAACCAGCTGCTATACTTTAGAATTTATATAAATCGCGTTTAAGCTATTATAAGGAGATAAAGCTCTATAAGTATAGTACTATAGAAGTCTTAAAGAAGATATTAAGAATAAAATTGCATAAGGCGAAAGGCCTCTAATACTCTATAAACTTAAGAAAATAGTAATATAAATTAACAGTTAATAATATAAGCGACAACTAGAACAGGCAGATAAGAGAGGACTTTATTCTTACGCCCAACTAGCTAGACCAAAGCTAAGAGTAACTAATCGCAACTACGGAGATTATATAGAGATTAATATTGTAAAACAACGTAATAACTAGAAGGGTAAACCAATTACTAATAAAGAGAGGTAAGAAAGAAAACGTAATAGTACGTGCCTATTATACGGAGAACAGGAACACTTTATAAACAAGTGCTCCAGGAACACCCGAATAGCAGCAGTTATAACAAAGCCGAATATAGACTGCCATAATTCTATGTTATAGACCGCGTGCTATAATAATAACTGCTTTACTTATTAGTTAGATAAGTAGGTAATAGGGTACTATCTAATACAGAAGGTAAAGGGATATACTATTGCTATAATAAGAAACGAAGAGTATAATAGCGACCCTATAGACAACTACTACGCCGATATAGAAGTTAAAAGTATAGAGATTAACTACCTGTTAGAGATAAATAAGGTGTTCCAGATAATTAAACCGCAATTAGAACCCTAAACCGGCGTACCCGAGCTACTAGACAATAGTAAAGCTAAGTTACTAGATATAGAAGCATAGGTTAATAGAGTTATAGCCATGTATAAACAAAGCGTAAGAGAAATTCTTACACGCCTTAATAAAAAATAAGAAGCGTAAGAGGCTGAAAACGCTATAGCGGGCGCAGAGCTAAAAGAACTAGCAAGTTACTAATTCCTAAGAGCTATAGGAAGAGTTACCGGACAACTTGTTAAAAAAGAAGGAGAAAAGATGGCCGCAGCCGCAGGAATAACAAAAACCACGCCAACCCTTAACGCGGAAACCCGCGTGAAACTGGACTTATTTAAAGGCTTAAGCCGTAATATCTAGATAAAATAGAATAACAAA